ACGGAATGCCGATTCCGTCTTTTGTTTTGAACGATGGAGTCGCAGGTGCCAATCTCTCTCGGACTGAGAAGGGCACATCATCTAGAGGATCATATCGTGCAGGATAAACAATGTCGTCCCTTGCTGACCCTCCTAATGGCCGATCTCCTTCATCGAGCGGCCCCACTCCTCCTTCGAAATCATCTTCTTCTTGATGCGGGTTTCTTTCTTCAACGGCGTTGTGATGTTGATCATCGAGTTCGGGCGGCTTCTGGTTTCCCAGAGCTTTAAGATCCGGTGACAATGGGAACTGGAACTTCCCTTCCAGGAGCTCAAGCCTTTTGGCCCTGAAAGTCCTGAAGGCATCATTCTCGATGGCCTCGTTGAGTCCCTGCAAAGGAGCAACTAAGTACTCTTCCTTGAAGACGAAGCCAGGCTGGATATGATACCCGAGGAAAATTCCTTCGATACCCGTCCCCGCAAACTTTGACCTTTTGGGCTGCTTCTGCTTGGGGTCGGCCCAGTACAAAATCTTAGCTCCAAAGGGAACAAGGACCCCTTGGAAGTCGCTCCCGAACCTTTGATTCCATGGTACTAAACCGTTGTCAAGACGTTTACTAACGTTTAAAGAAATAGCATGATGTTGGGATGCAAGTGGCCAGAACTGATCAGGTAAACCAGATTGTACCAAATTGGCACGCGTACCTTCCAAGATCGTTCGTATTTCACGCTCGATCACTGCTTTGTTCTGGTCCACATACTCCCTGGATTTGTTGTGCCTAGCTTGGAGTTGCTTAACCGCGTAGTCGAACTCGAGAGCATTGTCTGAGTAAACAACCTTAACATTATCATCGACCTCGAAAAAGTGCAGTAAGTCTTCGTAACACTGCTCACCACTTTTGTTGTCGGCCGGGTAAACGTAACGGAACTTCGTAAAGACATCCTTCACAACATGTGCTACAGTTTGTCCTTCGAATCCGTAGTCTTTGGCGTCCTTCGTGATGATGTGGTCGATGGTGATGTGGTCACCGAACCCCTTGCTGTGCACAGTGCTAGACCCTCCTTTCTTTCTGGCATGCGGAGCATACATTTTGGCTCGTTGACATACCGGACAGAAAGGGTTCTTTGGACGATGGCTCAAAAGATGCTGCACGGATTCCGCTTCAACTCTTAGAGACGCCTCGTCCTTCTTTGACTTTGGGATGTGGACCTCAACGTCGCTATCGGGTATGTCTTCACCGCCATCGGGCATGGCAAAGACAGTGATGAGCATGTTGGTACCCTCAGGCACCTTACCGTAGATGGCGTCGAGCTCGTCCATGTTGACCTTGTTCTCCAGCTGCTTCCACTCGCCATCTTTGTACCCCCAGGTGGAACGAATTCGACACTTGGGGTAGCGAGGTGCTGGTGTTCTGAAGGTCTTTGGTTTGTGGGCAACCTTGACGTGGGGATCACCATTCACAGTAATCCATCCAGCTTTCAATAGTTGCTCTTTCTTCATGCCTTCGAGAGGGGAATCCTTGGTTAGGATCTCTGCCAGCCATGGAGGATGATCTCCCTCGTCTGCCGCAGGTACCGGGACTACACCGTCTGGAGCTCCTGGAAGTGGTCCGGCTGCTGCGGCATGCCCTTTCGGGCAGCTTATGCGTGAAAATCCTGCTGCAAGGAGCAGGTGGGCGCCATTCGTTCACCTTCATCGCGATGCGCTACAGCAGCTGGGTGTCCGGAATCATTCCCAATACTGCTGAAAACTGGAACATTTCCCCGTAGCGTGCAAGTGAGCTTCTGGCCATCGGGCTTCACGAAGTACGGAACCTGCCCTGGAGGCCAGTAAAAACCGTACCCTTGCTGCATGCACTTCTTTCCCACAGAGCAAACCGGCGGGGTATCCGGGAGTTCCACGAATTCCAGGCTGCCATTCATTGACGGAACCTCGACTTCTGTCCTGGACGATGCCTCAACGATGCCATTGGCCGTATGAAGGTTGACTGGCGTTGCGTCGACTTTCCTACCGACCCCTTCGAAACACTTTTTCAGGTCCGAAGAGCTGATAAGGTCCTCTTCACTTCCCGTGTCGGCAATGATGTCCAAGCTCCGAAGTTCCTTGCGCGCTGGAGCGGCAGTTCCTGACATTATGTTTCCTGCTGCACAATGCCGACAAGCGAAATCAGGCTTGCAGCAGCGATGCTTACATTTTGTCTTTTCACCATGGAGTTCCGAGTACACTGAGGCCTCAAGATTTTGTGCGATGATGACTGCACACTGAAGATCACCAGGGTCGGACACGGGGCAATCAGCATTGGTCTTGAACCTTGCTACACATTTGCGCTTGTGGAGAACAAATTTCCAACCATCTCCGACGCTTTCAACTGTGTGTATCTCAGGGCGCCTTTCAAAACACACACTCATGTCTTTAGGCTTCAGCTTGAAACTCGTGACGCCCGTCCAGTTGGGCAGAGGTGCTTGCTTGTCGCACGTTTTCCAATTGTACTGTAACGTTCGCTCTTCGCCGGTTTTCAGCTTCATGGTGATGCTCGCAACAGACTTGATTCTCCATTCTGGAACGGGGCAGCTTTGGGGAATAAAATAGTTGTTTCTCAGAACAACATGTTCCCTAGATAGCGTGAGTGACTTCTCATCAAGGTGCCATATGTCTGCATGCCTGCCGTCCGGCTCACCCTTTCGGGCGGCTAAGGCGTACACGCAGCAGGCAGCTGCTCTAGCTTCTGTCCTCTTCTTCCGGCTCGGCCTCCGCTTGGCCGGAGAGGGTGCACGTGCCTTAGCCTTGGCCGGGACAGAGGGCGATGCGGACCTGTCCTTGTGCAAGAACTTGCACTTATCCCCATTCCTGCAAGTACCCTTGGCATAAAATGCGCATGGGATGTTGGAGGTGTCTTTGCTGTTGCTCTTATCTCTCTCGCGAGAACCTGACTTAGGCCGGTTGGGAGATCTCTCCCTTGAGGATGCTTTGGGGTCTTTCGTGTGCTCGTATTTGCAACGCTCCCCAAACTTGCACTTGCCCTTCTGAAACAACATGCAAACCTGCCTTCCCTGACGTCCTCTGGATGGCTGTCGTCGCTCCGAAGGAGCGGGCGCTGACGGCTTCGTAGAGGTAGGAGGGGCAGGAGCACCATACTTCGCGCCATGGGCCTTAGCAATCTTGTCCCTGTTCTTCCTAATTCGTTCTCGTGTGAGGAGGTTCTTGATGCTTTCCATGAGGAACTTGTAGGTGTGCTCGGGGGTCCCCTCACGAGCCCGATCATAAATGTCAAGATCATACTTCAAGCGATGGGACTTGCGAAGCTCACGGAGGAATATGTCGCGCAAAGTGGTTTCGTCTGGGGGATGCGATAGTCCAGCAATCACTGAATCCCAGTTATGCACGAAGGTAGCGAGGTCATCATTGATCAGTGCCACTTTCAAGAGGTCTTCGACCGACTAGAGGGAGCCAACTTCTTCGTTGGTTTTAAAGTAGGCTTCAAACATTAACAGCACTTGCCTACCTCTCACTGCTCTACCATAGGTGGCCTCCGTCTCCTTGTAGTTGAGTATCTGTCTCGCAAGCTCGCCCTTCGCCACCCTAGACAATGCTGCAAGGATTTTGGTGTCTAGCGTGAGGAATTTCCCTACATCGTTGAGGCTATCTAGCGACGCACCCTTTGCGTACACCTTCTGAATCCACGCAAATGCTTCATCAGGATGATCAGATGCTGCTCGAACAGCCTCTCGCACTGCCGTCTTCCACGATCTGTACGTCTCCGCTGAGGGAAAATCCGGAAGTTTCACTGACTCCGCTTCTTTAGTCTTAGGTTTCGTCTCATCCTTGGTAGCAAAGTCCTTGAGCGCTTTTGCAATCGCTTCATGCACTTCATTAGGGGCTTGCGAAACAGGAGTAGATGCTCCCAGATTAAATCTCTGAGGCCGTCTCTCAAAGAGACCCTTCATGCTCTCTGGAATCTGCAACGGATTTGGCAAATCAGCATGCGTAACATGTGCATTACCGCATGCGGCACCCCCTTGCGGGGGGCTTGATTCGGCAGTGTTCAAACCCGGTGGAGGCGCTGAGGCCATGGGAACAGCCTGCTGGTGATCGGCACCACCTTTCGGCAGGCTAGATGACGCCGAAGCGGTTGCCTTAGCCTCATCAAGCTCAACCATCAAACGCTGGTTCGACTCAGCCAACTCCTGAATCAAGACATCGCATGCGCTTTCTTCTTCATGCATGGCATATATGAACATGTTCTCTTCATACTGCATTTGCTCTCTAAATTCGTTGCCTAAGAAGTCCAGCTGGGTTTCCCTGTTTTGATCGTACACGACCCTGAGGTTAGCAAGGGAAAATTCACTCTGTTCAAGATGGGTCCTGAGGCGAGTTTCCGATTCGAGAACCATGTTACCTCGTGCCTCAAGCTCGAGATTGTGCATCCTAAGTGTGTGTGCGTCCTGTGCGGCTTGGTCAAGCTCCGCCGTTCGACCTCTTAGTGCTGCCTTGGTCTCCAGTAGTTGTTGTTGCAGCTCACGAACCACAAAGTCCATACGGTCACCGATGACTTCAAGCCGTGCACGATGTTGGGCATCAACGTGTTGCTCGAGTTCTCCCATTTCTGCACGGGCCTGTCTTGTAGCCATGTCCAGGATTTCCGCATGTCTGCGTTCGGCTTCGATACGAACTCGCTCTGCATCCTCGTTTTGTTGCACGATGATCAGCTGCTGCTGTACCCGGTACTGGTTGAACTGTTGGTAGTTGGTCGTTGCAGTCTGATCATGTTGCGTATTGGGATCAATGGTCCCATCTTGAAGCTGCAGAGCCATCGTGTGAGACTCTACGGCTGATAACCTGAAGTTTACAGGTCAGCACATGAGGGAATATGTAAACCGTTAAGTACGCCTCTTTTTATCGGCAACTTGAGCCACAGTCGAGGGTAGAGTGATGTTATGCACAGCTCGCAAAAGGAGTGTTATTCCTACATGAGAAACTACAAGACGCAGAGTAACGCAGTTTGGCAGTGCAGCTGCGTCTCCGAGGCGCTCATTGCAAAGGACAGCTTCGGGAAAGACGCGACGCCGGAGCCGCCTGCATCAGCCAAGCCCCCACCCCCCCAAGCTTCTTCCGTTTATTCGGCACTGATTGCAGGCCACAGCTGCCACGACCATGTGCGAAGCTCTGCGAGCCTCCATCTGCGAGACCGCAGAAGGCCCCCCGGAAGTCTCGTGGCAAATAAAGCTGCTGAATGTTGCCTGGCGTTTTCGGCGCGTGAAGTTCTACATCTTGTGCCACTTTATCTAACTGCTCAGAGGAAGCCAACGACCGGCACGTACAGACCATTCCTGCATTTCTGTGGCTGCCTGCCCGCCTTGTTGGAACCCCTGCGACACCAGGAACCAAAAGAAAATTGCATGTCCAAGGAATAGGCACGAGCACGGCACATCCTCGGCTGAAAGAACAGAGTGAACTCTCAGATCTCTCAGTTGACGTTTGACACCCGGGCTCGAGACGATACTTTGAACGTGTCGGACATTCACAGTTTGAAAGTTTGGAACAGGGCGAGTTCCAAAGCCCCATACCTCCAAAAGCCGAAACGCCACAAACCCAAACAGTAAGCCTAGACCCTAAACGCTAAGCCCTAGGCCACACAAGCCCCGACACCCTACCGCCTAGAAATTAACCCTCCTGCAGACCCCTCAAGTTGAAGCCCTGAGGTTCATCTAGCCGGACACAGCTGGATTTAGGATTTGGTTCAGGGAGGGCTTGGGGTTCAGGATCTCTGCTTGTCTTCATGTTTACAACAAATGGCGGGGCTGACTATGTGGATCTTTCTGCCGCGTGCGACGCCTCCAAGGTTTCAATGTCTCGACTCCAGACGGTTGAACTCAGGAACAGGGGGGAACGATGTTCAAAGGCGCTTGTGCCCGCGTACAAGATGCCTTCAAAGCTTCAGAGTCTCGATCTCTCGACTCCAAGCGTTCAAACTTGGGAAACTCTCAAAGGGAGTGATCTAACTTTCAAAGCTCGTCCTGCTTCGAACTCTCGAACTCACGAAGGCGAACGGGCATTTCAATCGGCAGGACATTGAAACCTTTCAATCTCGAGCGACGTCGACCCCGCCCCGGCTCGCGCAGGACCTCAAACTCCTAACTCGAAACTTTGTAACTTTCAGATTGGAAAGTCTCAAACTCGACCGCGGATCAAACTGTCGAGTTCTAGAGCTTCAAACTCGAACTGGCAATCTCGAAACTCCCCGGAGTGCGCAAAAGTTGGAAGATAGAGTTTGAGAGGAGGCGCTCATGCTCGAATGTTTTAAACTTCGAAAGTATGAACTTAGAAGGCTTGCAAGCTTGGAGTTTGCAATCTGCCTGTTGCATTCGCCCAGTCCCAAACTTCGAGCTCGACATTCGAACTTTCCAAATGTTCGACCTCCGGGATCTCTCTAACTTTTCAAATCTCAACTTCGAAGGACGTCGCTCGTGACGCCACGCAAATGGACCCCCTACATGCGGACTCCCTATGGACCAACCTTGGATAGAGGCTTCCAGCCTGCAGGGTTCAGCGTCATCCCAGTTGCCATCTGGCAAGTCAAAGTTGAGGTGCAGGCCGCGCGATAGCATCAACATTTTGCAAATTCATTTGATTCATGTTCACAAAGCCGTGGCTCTGTACAGCGCCGGTTGTCTAGTGGCCCATCTTGCAAAGCACGCTGAGAGGCGTCACCGCCTGCAGTAGAAGCGGTGGTGGCCCCATGACTGTTAAGACATCTCTTAAACTCTGACAAAGAAATTGGAGGCAATTCGACGTTATGGCGGAGAGCTCATGAAGCTCATGTGCAGCCCACTCCAAGCAGCCTTCTGGCTGGGGCTTGAGCGGCAGCATGCCATCTCACCCACTGCGCATCAGAACAATACGATGATGAATGCGCAGAAGAAATTCTGACGTGGAACAAGTGCCTGCGGACTGCATTCCTAGCTCCAATTCTTTGGCGCCTCTTCCCTGCATGGTTACGGGACTACCACGCCGTCTGCGTTGGGAGACAGCTAAGAAGCTGCGGTCGTGAAGCTGCAACATGAACATGGGGGTGGGCACCTCCTAACGCTCAACATCTACAGGGCTTCGGGCGACTCGGGAGGTCACCATGCTGTCGGAACAGGTTTTTGGTCCCTCGACACGGGCATTGCCCTCATGCTTTGGAGAGCGGGCAGTACTGACCGGGGGTTTGCAAGGTGGGGTGTGCTCGTGAGCCGTTGTTTCGGCCAGAGCTACACAGCTACACAGCTACACAGCTACTCAGCTACTCAGCTACTCAGCTACTTCATGAAAATCGACACCAGCTGCTTGTCAGGACGTCGCCCTTGTATCAGCGCGGGCGTTGGCAACTCCGCACGCGGAAGCCATCAGCGCAGCGCTTCTCGTCGTGGCCTGCCGATGGACACGGCTAAATCTGCCGAGATTACCTGGTCATTCGCAGCATGACGTCGACATCGGTGCAAACTGCGCAGACAGCTCCGGCTCCTCTCTGCGGCTGCAGTCGTGGCCACGGCCATGCGGCAAGCCGGCCGGAACTGTCACCAACAAGGAGTGTGGCCTCAAAGACACGGCATGAAACGACGAAGGACATATGAAGCTCCGTCCCAAAAAATCCTCTTTTGAAGAAAGCTAGAAGTGATACGGAAGTGATACCCCCGGCAGAGAGCTCTTGGGGCCTCCTCGGCCTTCTCGGCCTCCCCTCCTGGCACAAAGCACATGCCTCGGCTCTGCTTAAAAGTAGCTTTAGCCTCTGAACTCTTCTGCGTTCCATGAAACACCGCCATAAATACACAACGGCAACCAGCTCTGACAGAAACGGGGGGTTGAACCCTCAGCATGTTGCGACGGAGGCACATCGTGCCGCCTTACAGGAGGTTGGGAGCTTGAGGTTGCGAGACCTCGGGGACTCGGCTCTCACTTTCGCCGATGCTAACTGCCAGCGCGGCTGCCAATGCACGTCGCCAGGAACCTCCAGCCAAGCGGCTGGAACTGGCCAGTGTCTATGTCCCATGAGATTAATCGGTAGCACTCCTCAGCAAGAACAACAAGCAATGCTGCATGTATTTCGTATTTCTTGGGTGGCTTGCGGTCAGAAGGCCAAAAGCCTGTCCACAAGCTGCCATGCAAGTCCAGGATCTGCTGCCACCAGGGTCTGCTCCTTCGGGCTTCAACGGCTTAGCAAAGACTCAGTCAGAGATACCAGTGGATTTGCCGTTCAAAGCCTACGTCGCTACACCTCGCCACCGTCCGTACAGTGACAGGCTCATGCGCCGCGATGTGAAATCAATCTAGGACAAAGCAAATCTCAAAACTCAGCCTTCATAACACCCCGTCAGGCCCCCTTTCCGAAGAAGGAGGAAACGGGGCGGGCTCGGACTTCCACAGCTTCCACGCGTGGACACGATGCGCGAGCAAAATTGTATGTGAGGGTCCGCAATTACCCAAGATTACCCAAGTTACACAGGGGTGCAAGTTCAGGCCACAAGACGCGCTCCCCTTCCGCGCAGCTTCCGAGCCGCGTGGGAGCAGGCCCTGAATCCAGAGCTTCCGCACTTCGGCATCTTCATGGAGCTATGTCTAGAATCAATTCCCATACGTTCATCATCTGATCATCTGTTTTGCTGTCCTCCAAGCTCGTGGAGACGAAAGCGAGCGCGGAAACCGCCCCACCCTCGAAGCGATGGAGGACACACCTTAGGTCACAGGCATGATGTCCTGAACTCTGTGGTGTGGTCTGGTGTGGTGTGTCCTGAAACATACTGAAGACTTCCGAAGCACGTCAACGGTGAAGACCGAGAACGATGCAACATTAAACTGCGCAAGTTCCGTTTGTTCCGAAACCCAGCTGCTCAATTTCGACGTCCCACAGGGTAACTCTCCCATTCGCCTTCCAGGGCAAGTATATCGCATGTAAGTGAAGCTTTATTAATGAGGACATGGTAGGGCAACGCCGCTGCGTCCTTATACGCGTCTTCAAACTATTTCGAGCTTTAGCGTCACGCACCTCACCAGCAGCGACCAGTCCCAGGAAGGGGGACACAGCAATGGCCAGAACGTGACTGGAGCAATGGAAGGTTTTGCGGGCATTGGCTGTCTCGATGTCCCACACCGTCACCTGCGCCAGTCCGCTCCTCTTGGCCCATGTTTTTGCATTCGGGCTGTCAACGACCGAGTGGAGTGGGGACCAAACTCACAACGAGGACATTTTGCAGGTTTAAACGCTGGGCTTGTTACACCGAACTTTGCGCCACACGGTGTGCGAGTACCCGCCTTGAATGCCGAATCTCCGGTCACCAAGGCCCGGCCCATGGTGCCATTGTGAGTGGCGGGGATCAGCTTCTGAAGGATCCTCGGGTCGGGCATTCCACAAGCACGAGACAGGTTTTGCAACAGATGGCAGTCGCATTCGCTAGCAGCCGCTAGCAGCCGCGGATCTCTCTGTTCTTGAGGTGAGGGATGTCGCGAATGTACGGCGCGATGAACCAGTACGCGATCGAGTGCACCTCAGCCAATGCCAAGGATAACCTCTCAAGCGGACTCGAGACGAATCTGCTGATTCTTTTGCAAGCTCCAAAGAACGGCACCATGGCCTTGCACCAGAGCACCGCGAGCTGAAGCCCTCGGCACGATTCGGCACATCTCCACACACGAGAAGACGAGGGAGTTCGGGGGGCATTCAGGGTCGCAAGCCTCGCGTCAAGTCCCACAAGATGATCGTGCCATTCTCCTCACCCGTGACAACTGCCTGTATCAAACAAGGCTGCAGCACGTGTAATGCACATGATGGGTCTGTAGATGTCTGTCGTGCACGCGGAATGCAGCAAGGCATGCTCTCCACCCACAGTGGGAGGTGCACCGGCAGATGCGAAGCACTGCCCATGATATTCTTGAACCTGCATTTCTTCCCTGCGGTCTATGTGGCACAACGCAGATCACTGCAGGTTCAGCGCCCCGATCAAATGCCTTGATGGCTTCAGCGTAGTCAACACAGGCCACCGCACTTCCGCAACCTCAACAGTTCGTGTGACCCACTCAGCAACCAACACCAGGTGCAACTCCAGCTGAGTCGAAGACTCAACTCCCTCGCTGCCTGAGACAAAAAAACCAATTGTTACAACGGGCGCCCAAGTATGTCGCGATCTTTGGCCATGACTGAGGCCACTGCCGCACCACTGGTCACATCCCACACAATGACGGTGCCATCCTTGGAGTCCAGACATTTGCAGTAGCCGCCCCCCCTAGGGACTCCTTTTTGTTCGCTTGAGCGGCCCTGGCGCCGGCGACAACGCTCCGAAGGTGGCGCGCATAGGTAAGGGCCTGCTAAGAAATTTCCCGGGATCCCACTGCGTCTCGCGCCTGAGGGGGACAGCCTGCCAGCAGCCCTCACCGTGTAGGCCGCAGCGGGGAACTTTCTCATCCTTAAGCGTGGGCTTCAAGTTTCAAGATCTCAAGAATTTCTCAAGGAAAAACGGACAGGAACGAACATGTGTGCGCAAGGAAGCTTGGGACTTGCGGCAAGGCGGCAATGTCCCAGGACAGCAGCTGCCGCGCTGTGAGGGTAACGACTGCCTTCGCCTGGCTTGGAGGTGCGATATGGGCTGCAAACACGACCTCGAAAGCGAAACTGCAAAGGTTGGACCTGGGGCAACTCTTCAGAGTTACGTGTACGACAGGCCCAGGGCTTGGTTCTTGAACCCCGCTGAGTACCACGATGCTGGGGCAAAAAAAGGATTCTGACGAGTCGCACGCAGCCACAACTCTGGTGTTAATGCAGCATCAAGCTCATTGTGGACCCTTGCCTGCGGCCCTTGCACACAAAGCCACACAGCCCACACAGCCTCGTGCGCAAAGACCACGCCCAGCACCTCAAACGGCTCGAAAAAGCACAGCGAAAATTTTATGGAAAACCGGATCTTGGGGCTCACCGGGCCCTCGCAGCTCAGCTGCCAGAGCGGCTCAGGTTGCATCTCACATGGCACAGATGGCACAAGAGTTCTAGAGGTCTGCTGATGCATTGTGATTCTTTGATTCGGCAGCCAGAGGTTTGCTCTGCAACTGCTGTAGGCTCTGCCATGCTTAAACCTCACATGCTGCAGAATTCCGCATGCTCCGTTGCGAGCAACCTTTGCCAAAACAAACAGGTGAGAAAGCAGGCGGGATGATGCTGGCAACACGTGCTGCATGAGCACCACAAATGAAGCCAGTCATTGGTCCGCACGACAGCAAACTCGGATAAGGCGAGGGGACGAGAGCGCATGAGGCTGTCCACATTCAGCGGAAGCCCAGCCCTGATCGAAGCTGCAGCCTATTGGGGCTATCGTTCCGTCGCTTTGGACGGGTCCACGCGGAAGGAGCCTGGCCGCCAATTGAATCCAGCTACTGCTTCTGGCAACTGACTCTGCAGGTATCCTGTGGCGGCCGCACTGAGGGCAGTGCCGACTACACTGCGCAGCGATGACTCGACCTGCCAGAACGAGGAGAAGTGCAGTCGGACTGAAACAAGAACTCAGCCGACAGGCATTGCGCCACCTTGCCTGCGGCTCCTTCTGCCACCTCTCATCACACAAAAAGAGAAATGCAACAGAAGAAAGAAGCATTATCACAAGACGCGCAAAAGGCAAGTGCTTCTCTTGAGGCCTCTCATCGAAAGCCGTGCCCACCTCTGAGGTCTGAGGGTTGTGAAGTCCCAGGGCGCATGGGCAAGCACAGTTTATAGGACGGAGAGAGAGAAACAAGAGAAAACAAGAGAGCTTTTCGACTCTACGAGTCACTAATTAGGAGTCGCTCTGTGTGCTGCAAAAGTCCCTGAGCTTCTTCTCAGCGCCCCTGCCGCAAAAGCAGCGTAGCTGGCTCAGGCACAGGCCAACACAAACGCATCGCCATCGACCGTGGTCGATTTCACGATCGCTCGGTTTTGGAACTCGGCCTCCGGATGTTTGAGGCGAATCCGGGGGTGCGTGACGGTGCGTACATCAGAAGGTGCAAGCCATATTTGGTTGCTAAGGTGGCGGCAGACTGCGGCGAATAGGAAGTAAAGCTGATCAACACTTGCCTGGAGCAAGGACATGAAGGGTTTGGACTAAATTGCTACGGTTCTGAGATCGATGATGGTTCGTTACGACGTTACGGGTAGTCTCATGCGACCCGGATTTTGACAAGTTTGAGCCCGTACAGAAATAGAAATGAGGAACTCGCCATGGCCTCTTAGAGCTGGAGTGTACAGATATGTGATCCCCGCTAGCAACTTGGACCGGCCACCCCAGCTACTGCCATCTTTGCTCTTTGCATCAGCTTTTTCGGGCTCCGTTGCAGGCATGGCGGCATAGCAACCACTCAAGCCTCTGCCCACTGGCCAGCTCCTTGTCCTCCAGGATTCTCACATCCCCGGGTTCGCCGTAGGCACCGAACTTGCCTCCAAGAGCTTGCCAATGCAAAGAGGCAACTTGCACCCAGCGAGTGGTGTTTTTCAGATGGCGAGGGGCCGGGGGAGTTTGCCAGTTTGCAGCGCCTCTGCTGTTGAGCACGGCGTCCAGGATCTGGTCGGTTGTCGCTGTTCCACTCACGCCTGGGATCACCTTCAAAGGTTCGGGCCCCACGCGTGTGACTCCACGTATCTCCACGTGTGACTCAACACGTTTGTGCAAAAGACGCGCCCAGGCACAGGGCCACAGGGCATCTGCAAAACGGTGCAGTGCCATCGGGCTTGGTTGGTCAACCCTCAAATTGCGGCCTGAAGGAAGGCATAGGCACCTTATCGGCGAAATCCGAAAACAGTTCACAAGAAGTCTGCAATCAAGAGGCCAAAATGACTCTGCAGACTCTTTTGGGCCTAATCGTTCAAGGCGCTCTTGCCTCTAACTTCAAGCCCTTTCGAGGAGGATGTGCGATCCTCGGCAGGGCCGACCAAGTCAGAAGTTGATCAAATCACCAAAACACATTTCATGTGTGTTTTTTCACAAGACATAAGAGCAAGAACAAGGTTCAGAAGTGACCGGCCAAGGTGTCCGAAAACTCACCTTTGCAACGTTCCATTTTCAAGAAGGAGAGCAAAACGAGCAGAACCGGAATGTCAGCATCAGGTTGCCGGGGCGATGTCAAGCAAGCGGCAGTCACGCGTGTCTCGGAGGATGACAGCACCTGTCTGTCAAAGGAGTGCGTTGAATGAGCGTCTGCCATTGAGAAAGCCGGCCTCCGCTGCCACCAAGCGCTCGCCGTCCCCCTCCGCCTCGCCTGCACAAGTGCTCACGGCTCTGCCCACCAAGCCACCGCAATTCACTGCACCAGATATTGCACCATTCACGGCGCCGAGCGCAACGCGCCGAGCGCAACGCGCCGAGCGCAACGCGCCGAGCGCAACGCGCCGAGCGCAACGCGCCGAGCGCAACGCGCCGAGCGCAACGCGCCGAGCGCAACGCGCCGAGCGCAACGCGCCGAGCGCAACGCGCCGAGCGCAACGCGCCGAGCGCAACGCGCCGAGCGCAACGCGCCGAGCGCAACGCGCCGAGCGCAACGCGCCGAGCGCAACGCGCCGAGCGCAACGCGCCGAGCGCAACGCGCCGAGCGCGATGCGACACCAAAAAAGCCCACCGGGAGGGGGGGGGGGGAGTTCCGCAACAAGGACCACATGCCTGCGCCGGCGCCCCGGAGCTTCCGGAGCTTCCGGAGCTATGGCTCCAACCCCACGCAGCAGCACGGTCGCACAAGTGCCAGAGACCAGGAGACACACGAGAGCATGAGATCTCAGAACTCGCACCACTACGTTCGAAACCGCTGAGAGCATCAACTCTTAGTCTCTCTTCCTTGTGCTAAACTACCCCTGTACCCAGCTAGGATTCAAGCTTCAAGCCTCACTGGCTTCTAAACAAGGGGTGCCAATCAATCAGCTGGTCTCGGCGTACCCGTCCCCAAAGCTCTTGCTTCGACCCGGCCCGGACCCCGAGAAAGGGCTGAGCTGCTTTGTCATAGGAACCCGACATATTGCATGGCACAAGCCGAAAGCTGTGGAACGCTAGCTGGGAACGCTGGGAACGGATTCTACAAAGAAGTCCCTGCACGTCACCTTCCATCACTCCGAGGGTGCTCATGCGCACGCCCGTCTCTGGCCTGCGAAGCTTGGCGTGATCGGGCAGGGGCGCGCAAGGCGTTGCCAACAACTCATTGCAGAAGCATGGCATGCAACATGGCGGGGTGTGCTAAGGGCTGCTATACTCGTGCCAGTCATGAAGAGCGCCTCGAAAAGAAGTATAGTCTGTACTTCTAACGACTTGGTTTGCCGTACAGCTCCGGCACCTGGGCCGAGAGCGGCGAACCAGGTTCCGAAGGCCGGCGTTGACCTCTCACCAGCACGCCACACATTGTCGCCATCTCGGGAGCTATTCAACACGCGCACACGCACGTACAGAGAGAGAGAGAGAGACAAACACGGACAAACACAGACAAACACAGACCGATGCACCCTTTGTGGGCTGAAAGTCCACGGGAGTCGGCGGGGCCGGGGGCTCGCGTTGCTCCCGTGCTGTCGAACCACCATGGATTGGGTAGGCCTAGGCGTTCATCCCTCGCATGAGTTAGATTTTCGGCAGGTGAAGGGTTGGCAGTGTAGGTCCTGTAGGTATTGCAAACTGGTCATTCGCCTGCATGGAGGTGAGAGCTCCTGGCAACGCTTGGCTAGGGTGTGTCGTAGATCCTAGTCCCCTACAGCTTCGCTGTGGTTGCTTTCAAAAAAAGACAAACACAGACACACAGAGACAAACAGAGACAAACAGACACGAACAGACACAAACAGACCCAAACAGACACAAACAGACACAAACGGACACAAACAGACAGAGAGACAGACAGACAGAGAAACAGATAGCCAGACAGACAGACAGACAGACAGACAGACAGACAGACAGACAGACAGACAGACAGACAGACAGACAGTACCCGTGACAGCACACGCCACAACGCTTCAAGGAAGGAAGTCTGTTCAAATGACATTTTGTCAAATTCAAGTGCCTCCTTTCTAGCTCGGACTTTTGGGACCTGCGCTAGCAGACCTTGTGCACGTCACGCCTTTTCTTGCTTTCCTTCCTTCCCTCCCCTCAAGTTTCCGATGCTTTCAAGCTTTTGTACTGGGAGTGTTGCCCTTTGCCTCTGCCCTCATTCCCCTGTGCTCCACAAGTCCGGGGCAGCTGGTCGGCAGCTGGAGCGCATTTGGGTTTTGACGACGAGAGCACAACCAGGCTTCCAAAGAATAGCCTCGAGAAGACATGTGGCTCGGTCCAGCATTCGTCGCGCAACTCATTTCTTGATTTCAGGACTACCTAGTTTCGATCCTTCAAACGAGAAAAAGGACCCATGACAAGTGCCTTGCCTGCGCCTCTGCCTGCAAAGGCATGGTGGCAGCGGACGCTGCGAGGCCGAACAGCCATGACCGCCTGATGCCCCTCCCGAAAACACACCGCGAACACCCCACATCGAGCATCTGATTTCTGACAGCGATCCAATCTTTTGCTCGGCTTGCTCGGGCGCAGATGGCATCAGCGGCATCAGCCTGAACACAGGCGCTGTGTTCGCCACAGGCGCTGGCGGCGCCAGCCATGTCCAAGCAGATTGGGCCTCCCGCCGAGTTGCGTAGACACTTCAAGAGCTTCCAGTGGCTTCAACCCCGAATCACGAGATCAACATGCAGAGATGCTGAGACTTGCTCAAGTGGTGCGGTCCCTGCTTCTGAAATCAGGAAGGCGACGAGAAGGGCCCCAAGAAGCTGCCGCGAGCCGATCTGCTGCCTGTCAGTGTCCACCGTGTCTCCGGTATAGGTGATACAATGCTGACAAGAACCGAAAACAGGAAACAAAGAGAGCAGAGAAATGTTTCAAGCTGCCCGTGCGCAGTGGGCTTGTGCCAGTCGAGCATACACACGTCAACAGATGAAAGGCGAAATCCGCCGAGGTTCGGGCCGGAGGTGTCTAGGTTGTGAGAACAGGCACCCCCAACCACAAAGCCACGCGTCCCCCTTTTTTTCTCCTGGAATGGGTACCCACACGCAACCGACCGGGATCTCTCAAAGCAAACGGTTTGCCCGGACCAGGGGGCAGTTGGGCTCCCGCTATAGAATCTGACACCACCGCCCACCCCCCCCCCCACCTCCCCCCCACCCCCCTGAAAATGTTGGAGCGTGGCGTTGTGGTCTCCGGGAGCTGCATTGGGCCAGGCCGAGGTGGGTCGCGTAGCGTTAACATTAAATTTGAGCTCACGTAGCTCGCGGACTCCAGGTCCCATGTCTTGAATTCTTCTGCTGTGGTACACACCTGGCTGTTCACCGATATATAAGTCATACGTGCTGCTGCATGAGGCCCGGTATGTGTGTGTGTGTGTGTGTGCACAGGTGCGGCATCGTAAGACCTTTGGAATGGCTATCGGCACTTGGATTACTTCAGACAAGCAAGCTCTGTGGTGCCACTTCAATGATCTCGAGATGGGTCCGCGACAGTGGCTCTCCTACACTCAGCGCTTCAGTCTTTTCAGCCCAACCCCCTGCCCCAGCCCCGCGCCTGACACGCCCAGCGGACCGGGCGGACCGGGCCATGACTCGCATGGCTTTACCGCAGTCGAGTAGGCACACTGAAGTCCTACTCGAGTACTTGGAGACTGTGTTGATGAGTTGCTGTTTGCTTCGGCCGCAACCGCGCGCGCTATATGTCACTACTTGTACGGTCTTGAAAATGAGCATGATGCCGAGGGCCGAAGTTGTCTAAGGCCTCGAGCACATATTTAGATTACCACCGCAGTCGGTGGACAAGATTGCGTTCTGTTGCCATCACTTAGCAGGTTTGAACCTGTGCATCGTAGTCATCGCAATTCATGGCAGCAAGGCTTGTTGCAGAGGTGACGCAGATGGAAGCGGGCAGTGGTTGTGCAGTCCACACGCTGGTTTATCTTTTTGATGCATACGCGGCTAGCCAGCCGACCTGTCGCACATTCCACGGAATCGCCACAACGCTTCTGCAAAAAAAAACTTGCAGCCGTCATGTCACATTGGCCTTCGTCTAGGTAGAGGCCCCATTGCCTGCACAACGAGATGCGGCATCATCGTTGTTCGTCGTCAAAAGGAAGATGTGTGTGGTGCGGAGCCTTCTGGTCGAAAGGTTCGAAGGGACCTCTTTCCTGCAGGAAGTTGCCGCAGCGCGCGAAGGCCAAGTCGCCCTCAGCAGAGCCGTTGACACCTGAGAGCGTCTGGGCAAGTAGCGCCAGACTCATTCGCGGTATGAGCGCGCCTCCGAATCGGTTACAGGGCGGTCCCTCTCCAAGGCCACCACATAGGTTTGCAAACCGCAGGTGGCCGTTTTTGAACACCCACTCCTGCACAAATGGTGGGCTTCGGTGGGCTTCACGTAGCTATCGAGGTTCGACACTCCGTTGCCCAAGGCCCCTGGGCCAACACTGGCATTAATAGTCCTGCATTGGCGAACCCTGCATGCAGCGATAGAGCCTCAGCTTCTGTCCGCGGTCATGATGAGCTATGAGCATCAGCTAACACCAGAGCAACTCCCAGTTCATGCGGCAAGGCTGCAGTACTTTTGCTCCGACCTTCTGCACCTGCGCGGAGTCCGCGTCCAAACACCTTACGCGGCGAGGCTCAGACGGCGTCTGCTGATGTGGGGAAGAAGCAGCAGCGCAGCAGCTCGACACGGAAGCTGCATGAGCTAACAGCAGCTAACATGCTGGAGGCACATTTCCGTGTCGACATGCTCCAGGCTGCGGCCTCATTGCACTGGTAGATTGGCAAGACACGATCGGCTTTCTGTGCAGGAAGGCAGGTCTCTGAGTCACCTCAGAGTGTCGAATCTGTGCCCGGCCTTTGTTTGTGTAGGTCCAGCGAAGGCGCTTGTCCTGGCAGCATCTTGGCAGCTGCTCTGCAATCAGGCACCGTCTTCAACATTCGTCAACTCAGCCCTCAACAGTCGGCCCTTGGACAAGACCCGGTGCCCAAAGCAAGGACTCCGGAAGGAGTGGGACCCTGACCGCTGTTCACGTGGTGTTCGAAGCGGGTGCTAAGGGAATGTGTTTCGGTCGGGAATCTAAGAACGAATTCCGCTACGTTCGGGTGTGCGGGGAAAAAGCTTGGGCCGCCAGAACCCGGTGTTACTGCTAAAAAAAAACTCCCAAAATGTCTCAGATATCCTCCTCCCCTTGCAAACCCCCTCCCCTAACCATTTATGGACCCCTTGTCGGAGTCTAACCCTCAAGCAGTGATGAACCTCTGGGAGCTTGTACCTTCCAGGTCGCGCAGCGCTAAACTGCCAAAACATGGTCACTGTCCTATGGCAGGGCTCTTTTCAATCGAGCAGAGACTATTGTCTACAGAAGGCCACCAAGCTCCAAAGTCGGAGATCCGAATTTGTAGGACCAGCCGAAACCGTCGATTCCTTCTTGAAAGCCTAAAAGCAAACGCAAGGAGACTTAGTTGCTGCCTCTCTCGCCTCTTCTTGACCTTAGACGGCCTCTGTGGTTCCTACCCTTCCCTCCTTGGCAGGAGTGATTTAAGCCCCTTCTTCGCGATAAAACCTTTATCTACGAGGCCCTCCCCAACCCCCTCTGCCCTCGCTGCCGCCGGTTGTCTGCTATCAACTATCATCGCAGACTTGCAATCTAATTCGGTCTAGATTTCAGCGAGGTATGGCGAGGTAATTGAATCATACGGCAGGAGCACGACATCACTATACCTCAGCCCATTAAGTGGTTCGAAGCGAGCTCTTCTGGGCAGAGCCTAAACCCCTAAACGGCCCTAAACCGGAGTCTCTGACATTGAGGCTGTTGACTCGGGAAGACGAAAAGAAGCCCCAAGCCCTACAATCCGAGTCCCCTCTCTAAGGAGGGCCCTTAAGGACTCCTCTTGGCGGCAGGGCCCTTCCAGCAAGCGACTGGTCCGCCGCTCCGGCTGGAGGCACAGTCCGGTGCCCTGAGCTTTGCTGGGTGCTTTCTTTACTATGCACTTCTACGGTCATTCCTGCTGCGTGTTTTTTACTACTTATTGTTTGTCTTGGTACTGTCTACTGTTCTTCTTGTTCTTCTTGCTACTTTGCAATTACTAAAACTACTACACGTATCTAGTGTCGTCATGGTCGTCGTCGTCGTTGTTGTCTTTGTAGCAGACGTAGGCTCGCTTCTATTTTCTCTATGGTGTTAATGGTGGGCCACCAGGAAGTTTGATCTGCGTGAGTGTTCCTTAAGTGGCTTTTGCGTGGCTGTAGCCTGGGCCTCAGACCACTGTAGGATTGTCATGGTTTGTGCATTGCTCCAAAAAAGGGATGAGCAGGGCAGAGAGGGCAGTGAGCACGCCGGTCCTTTCTGGTCCTTCCAAGGTTCTGGGGCTGTTGCTGATGCTGCAACCCCGTGCATTGATTGAGACATGGAATGGACAAACCCAAAAAAACCCTCCGCCGTGGAGTTGGAAAGCGACAGAGAGAAAGGGAGAGAGAGAGGAGGGAGAGATATAGAGAGAAAATGGGAGAGAGAGAGAGAGAAAGAGAGGGAGAGAGAGCGAGAAAACGGAGGGGACCTGCTTTGGGGATCATAGAGTCATAGACTGCCTTGCCACAGTTCATGAATGTTCATGATCAATGCTTCCACTCTCAGTTCTCTGAGAGTCCAGCGGTATCTCGAATCAGGAACATGTCCTGTTGCCGGGAGCTGTGCAGAGCTGGTATTGTTTGCGACGAAGACACCCACTTTTGAGCAGCTACTTTGCTGTCCAAGGCTCTTTTGGCAACATGTTCTTTGTCTCAAACACATCCTGTCGACAGCCAGTTTCAAGCAATGGCTTCACGTGTCGCGCAGAATGCCGTCCGCTTCTTGCCCGCAGCATGGTGACTGTCTGGCATGGGTGACATATGGGCGTCCTTGAACTTTGTGACGTACCTCAGCCGGACACCCGGCCATTGGGCCGAAGGGCGACGTCACGAAAACTGCTGGTAAATCCAGGTGGGAAATCTTGGGTGGTGCCAGCGGCCATATTTCCCAGCTTCTACAAATTGATTGGATGCGCTGGATCACGACTTTATTGAAACCCTACGAAAACGCGGCAGTATTCCACACATTCGATGAGGCGTGTCGCCTTCTGGTTCTGAGTTCTGAGATCCCGGCCAACTGAACGGCTTGCAGTTCAGCTGCTTCTTCAGGGCTTGTCGATCCGAGATGTCTCCTCACTCAGCCGACCACTGGGAATCAATGGAACACAGGGAATATTCGCAACGACGGAAACAGGCAGAAGACCTGCAGGCACATGCCAAGCTTCAATCTGGATCGGGTCGGACCATTCAGACCCAACACGGAAGACTGAATCCAATTGAAAAGGCATAAGCACAAAGCACAAAACCCTTTACCGACCAAAGGATCTACCGCTGTCATGCCTTGCAACAGCTCGAATCTTATCACGTCCGGTGGACCACCAGTATGTCTATCCTATATGTATATATATGTATATATATATGTATATATATGTATATATATATATGCATATATACATGTGTGTAGTTATCTGTACACATCGTATGATGATCGGCTCCGAGGGACCCATCGCGTCCACGAACCTCTCCGCTGCAGGGTCTGCGGCCTCTTGGCGTCGCATGCATCGCAGCGTAGAAGAAAGATGCTGCTGAATTTGAATGTGGTTTTCAAGAGGTTGGACGCGAAAGCACCCAAAGGTGACCTCGACCACGAATAAAGTGTGCTCCAAGCAGCATAGAAGAAGCGCTTGTAGTCGTCAAACCAGGTCTCCACCGTCCTCACCTTGTTGATGTAGACTTCCTCGGCGCCAAGGACAAGCCCTTGTCTAACATGAGTGTGGTCGAAGTTACTTGGCACTGAATAAGCTCAAACGTGGTCAGGAGGCACGGGGGAGGCGACAGAAATAGCCCCGCGTGGCAGTTGCACATGCGACCCAACTGAACCCAACATGCTATGGAGTTCGGCCAGTAAAGGGAACATGAAACTACTGCCTTGGTCCTGCGCTGCATGAACTCAGCACTGATGGCGGTGCAAAAGCACGCTGTTACATGCGGGCTGCACGCCTGTCTGCCCTCCTCTCTCTCTGAAACTCCCAAGACTTCAAGTCTCGGTGTTGTTGACTGCGTACGGGAAGGA